GAGCACCACCGCCCCCGGCTGCTCCACCGGCTGGGCCTGGGGACGCAGCGGCCTGAGTCCTGGCTGACCCGGGCTCCGCACGGGCCCTTCCCTGAGCCTCAGCTTCCGGGGGAGCAGAGTGGCCACGGGGGCCAGCAGGAATCTGTGTGAGGCGGCACCCCGTTTTCCTGCAGCCCTCCTCCTGTCTGGGAACGGAGTGGGTCACACAGAAGGCGGGTCTCTGGCCGGAGGAGAGACCGCGGCGAGCTCCCAGGGATGGCCGATGACCAGGTCCCAGCTCCCCCGGCCTCTCGGGCCCAGTCCTTGCCCGGCCACACGTTTCCACGACGGCACGGGCTTGTCTCTATTTTCCCCTCGTTTCCCTCAATAACTGACGGCACCGTGGGCGAGGCGCGCCCGGGGATTCCAGGCTGAGGCTGGCTTTGGCCGCCTAGTGCTTCCTCTTTGTCTCCACGGCGCTGGGTTTCGTTAGAGCTGGGCCGGTGTGAGGAGTTCCCAGCCCGCTCCCCACTCAGAGCAGAGGGGCAAGCTCCAGCCAGAGAGGCCGCTGCTGGAGAGGGTGGTCCCGGCCCCCGGCACGCTCACCAGCAGCTGGTGTGAGCAGGCTGCGTTCGGAGCAGGGCCCCTCGAGCAGGAGTGTCCAGTGGGGGGCTTGGGGGGGGGGTGTGCACACCATGGCTTCATTTTTCCAAGTGGGGGCAGGAGGGACCGAGCCGGTCACTTCAGGACGGGGCTGTTCTGGCAGCAGCAGGTGTCAGTTCACACCAAGGGGCCCATTTACCCCCCAAGGTCCATAAGTGTCCTTTTTTTTTTTTTTTTTAGAGGCATGTTTTTTATTTATTTATTTGTTTGTTTGTTTATTCAAGCACTGGGTACAGTCAGAAGCACGGGAGGGTGAGAGAATTCACCAGAGCCAGAGCGGGGAGCAACACAGGCAGAAGGACCGAAGTACACTGCTGAGGGGAGCAGCGGGCTGCAGGAGAGGTCTGCACGCCATGTGGGACCCTCCTCCGGTGGCTGGGGAGCAGCTGGCTATCGAACCAGCGCTGCAGAGGTTGTGGACAGCTTCGCAACCCAGCGCTCAACCGCTGCGCCACCGGGGAGGCCCCCATAAGTGTCCTTGATCCCTGCACTAGCCCTGACTGAGCTCCAGGACCGAGGGGAACCTCACCCCAGTGGCTCTGCTGACGGCAGTTCCTGCTGCACCCCGCAGTTCACATGGTGTTGGGGAGCAGTGAGGAGCACTGCACCGCGTTGGACGGCCAGAGCAGCAGGTCAGCCAGGAGGAGCCGGGACAGCGCATGCATTTATTCATCAAGTATGTATTACAACGGAACACCAGCTCTGTAATCAGCCGGCCCGCGTGTGCACCCTGGCTCTGCCGTGTAGTTGCTGTGTGACCTTCAGTGAGTTCCTTGACCTTTCTGGGTCCTGGTTATTTCCATGCACAGAGTGGCAATACTGAGAGGCGCTACCTCAAGGGGCCATGGTGAGCACTCAGCCAGCTAATATGACGACACACACGAGTGCTGACATGAGGAAGCACCTGATAAACGTTAGCAGTTGTTATTCCTGGGCCAGCACTGTGCTTGGCCCGGGAGATGCAACAGTGAGCGAAAGAGCCCTGGTTTTTTCCTGCAGATTCCAGGGAGTGAAGGCTTGACCTAGCCATTGCAAACTCACTGGAGAGGGGCCATGTTCTGAGCTCACAGAGTTGGGGCAGGATGTCAGGAAAGGCTTTGCCTGAGGTGGGGCACATGAGCTGAGTCTGAAGAGAAAGAGTTACCGGAGGATGAGCAGTCCAGAGTGCTCCAGGCAGAAGTGGCTGCACAGGCAAATGTCCTGTGTCGGGAGCAAACAGGAGGAGTTAAAAGAGGGAGTCAGTGCAGAGAACAGGGGGACACGGTGTGAGATGAGGCTGGAGGAGAAGGGGTGTCCATGGCAATGTGGCCTTTTTGGGGATTTGAGTCTTTTTCTAAAAGCACTGGGGAGCCATTGAATGCTGCATAGGGGGAGCGTTCCTGTACCTGGAATTGGGACGGGCTTGCTCTCTCACATGGGGGCTGGCACCCGAGACTTGTAAGCGAGTTTTGCTTTCAAGTTTTATGAGAGATGGACTCAGGGTCAGAGGCGGGTGACTGGCCTCTGCCTACATCCGTGGGCCAAGGTGTTCTCAGACCGTTGCTGTTTCCTTGCATTTTTTGGCACTAAGCGTTTCGATAGCCTTTTTCCAGATTAGGCCGTGTCAGAGACTCAAGTGAATTCTCTAAAACCACACAGCAAGCTCAAAGCAAGGACCCAGGTCTCCCTCTTCTCGGCCCTGTGTTCCTCACCTGGCCATGTGAGTGGTCCTGGCTGGTGGCTTTTTACTAACCTGTAGGCCCCAAGAGGGCTAGGACAGGGTGTATCCTGTTTGTGGCTACAGCCGGTGCAGCAGCGGCGTTGTCTTCAGGTCTGGAGTCTTACATCTTGCTCTCACATCTTGATCTGTGTTTCATTCTGTCCATTAGAGGAACTGAGAGGGTCACTTCTTACTCCAATCTGGTTCTCCTTATGGCCAGTGACCCCCATTTTTCTAGGCTGCAAACTGCAACCTGTGGAGCAAATCCGGCCCTCTGCCTGTTTTTATGTAAATAAAGTTTTATGGACACACGACCACAGCCACTCACTTATGTAGGGACTATGTATTTGTGTCTCCACAAGGCACATCTAGTTGAGCCAGCCGGGCCTTGACATAGCCAACCTGCAGCTAAGTCCGTACTTCCAGCCACACCTCCCCAAGTAGGGGCTCTCTCTCTTGAGGGTTTTTTCCTGGCAGCCTGAATTTGCATCCCAGCTCTGCCACATACTCTGTGTGACCTCAAGCAGGAACACACTTTGAGCCTCAATTTCCTCATTTCCAGAAACTACTCTGAGGATTGTAAACAGTAATAAATGCAAAGCACAGTGTCTAGCACAGAGCAGGGACCCAGGAAATGCCAAGCATTTGTATTGCGAGGTTTTGCAGATGGGGAAACTGAGGCGTCAGTGTCTTGACTTGCCTGACATCACACAGCTCCTAAGTGGCCTGTCTTCGGTTCCTGGTTTTGCCAGTTGTCATCTTTAGGGCCCCAACCCTGCATGTTTTTCAAAACTCGAAGGACAATGTGGCCTGGAGGCCGGTTTTTGGCAGTTAGTCAGTTACCTTACCCCAGGCTGTGCCCAACCCTCCTGAGAAGTGGCCTGTGGCTGTATCAGGGAGGGAGGGTGGAGGCTGCTGGGATGTGCTGATCGGTGTCCACCCTCAGTGGACCTTCCTAGCTGTCCTTCCACCCAGATCCCAGGGTTGGAGTGAACAGCCTCCAACACCCCATTTGGAATTTAAGAAGTGGCCAGGTCCCCCGGTCCCACGGTCTGGCTGGAACAGGTCCCCACTCCAGGGTGACCAACTCATCCCCGCTTGCCCAGGTTTACCCTGTTTTAGCACAGAAAGTCCTGCCTCTCAGGAGCCCCCTCGGTCCCAGGCAGCAGGGATAGTTGTTCACCCTCCATGTAAACTGAGCCAGAGTCTCACTCAGCAGAGAACCCCACTCTCAACTTGTCTTTCCCGCTGCAAAGTTGGGGTTGCTCTCCTCCCCATCCAATCGGTGACTCCCTGAAAGCTCCCCTCCAAGTGACCCTCTGAACTGGCCGTCAGCGTCCTCCCCAATTCTTGGAGAACCTTCCATCTTCGGAGGCTTCCCGTTTGACAGACAGAGAACCCGGGTAAGATGAGGGAGACACCCCGAGGTCACCCAGGCCCCGCCTTCAGGCCAGCACTCCCCCTTCGTCCTCTGCATCTTGGGGACCTCGTCAGCTTCCGACCTGCCGGTCAGGTGTTGGGCTCTGTTGAGGGGTGGGCCCCTGGGCAGTCCCCAGCAGAGACAGTGTCCCACCCCTTGTGCTTGTGGCTCAGGCTCAAGGACCCCTCTGGACTGCCTGTCACGGGGCGTGGCCTCCAGCATCCTCCTGGGGTTCTCAGGCTTCCCAACCCCTACCCCTCAGGGCTGGCTGTTCCCAAAGCTGCTGGGGACAGGGTAGGATGCTTCCAGAGTCTCCTGTTCCCTCCTGGGTCCTCGGTTTCCCTGTCTGTACCGATTGGTGAGACTTGGCCCCTTCCAGCTGTAGCTTCCTAAGGCGACTGTCACAGAGAACCCCCGCTGGGCCTCCGGCTGTCATTTTAGTAAGGCCTGGGGGTAGAGTGCAAAGTGGGGAGGGTATGACCCCCTCTCTGCTATGACCCCCCAGACCCTACGAGAGGACCCCTACCTTCACCTCCTTAAGAGTCCCCCGTGTCCTCGGGCCTCCTGGTCCTGGCCATGCCACGCTCTCTGCACTGCCTGTGCTGCCTGTGGGCTCAGGTATCACTTCTCCTTGAAAGATCTTCTGACACCCCTTCCGGCTCACCCCAGGGCGTCATTGCCACAGGGTGCCCTAACGGTCTGTTTCTGTGTTTACCCGCTTCATCTGGCTTCCCAACAGATGAAGAGCTTCAGGGGGGCCAGAGCACCTGCCTGGGGATCTCAGGGCCCCAAGCTGGGGTGCCAGCGTTGGCTAAATGAACAAATCAGAAGAAATAAAAGCAGCGGGTCTGGCCCCGGTGGAACTGGCCGTCTAGCTCCTGACAGAGGCCAGTGACGGCGGCTGAAGGGCCTGCCCGAGTGCCTAGAGATGGCTGGGTCGTGAAAGAACCCCCAGTATCTGTGCAAGCCCCAGTCTGTGTACTTCACCCCCCTCTCCCTTCTCGGCCAAGAAGCATGTGGTCACCCCTTCTTTCAGGGCGAGGTCCCCCTCACCCCGCTCTGCACATGTGTGGAGTTACGCGGTAGCCTTTCTTCGCTGGGTCCCCTCAACACCCTCCCCCAAGAAAGTTTCCACACAGCCTTGGTGTTTTCAAGGTTACGGGAATGCAAGATGACATCAGGGTGGGCTGGTCCCTGCCTCCCATCGTCCGCTCAGTCCCCACCAACTCTCACCAAAGCTGTTACAAACAAGGGGGTGTGGGCCTGTCACGTGGCCCTGAGTAACCACATTCTCGCTTCCTTCTTTCCACCGGCCCGTTGGGGGTTGGCAGGTCCGCACCACAGAAGTGGGCGCCGCAGCAGTGTCTGGTCTCAGCTCTGCTGGGTCCTCGCTACGGCAGAGAAGCCGCCCCGGGGCCCACGAGGCAGCTGTGTCCCATGCTCCGCTGAGCACGGTAAGTGCCGGCTGGCAAAACCACAGGGAGTGGCTGGGCCCCTGGGGACCCGAGGGCTGACAGAAAGCATAGGCTGGGCCAGGACCCGGGGCTCTTCCTGTGCTCAGTCCCCGGGGAGAGCAGGCCCAAGCTGGGGCGCTGGGGACCGAGGTCCCTCTGGAGTGCGCGGCCTGTCTCGGCTGTCTCTTCCGGACCCTGCTCTCCTCAACTTGGATCATTCTCCCCCCTGGGTTCGCCAGCAGCTGCTGGCTGGGGCATCCTGAATTAAAAATAAATCCCGAGTGCTTCCCTGAAAATGATCCTGTCCCCCTCTTTCCTAGATGGGAAATTGGGGTGAAGGGATTTACTCAGGAGCAGAACTGGTGTTGGGGCTGGGGGACTCCAGAACTGGGGCGGGCTGCGGGGTAGTTCTGAAGCCACAGAGGCTGTGGATCCATAAAAATATCATTTCCAAACCTGCGTTCATGTCTTTTATAAGAGAGAAAAATGACACTTGTCTGTAGCAGATGAAATATGAGGATTAGGATACTGTTGCGAGCAAGAGAGGAAATAATAATAAAAATAATAATTAGAATGCTCTTAATAATTTGTAATTTAGGGTGCCTTGGGAACAGAAAGGAGAATGATGAGGGGTTGATGGTTAAAGCAGAGCCTCACCCCATGCACACACATCCCCCCCACATACACACACACCCACACGCAGTGATCAGGGCTTCCTCTCTTGGGAACCCCTTGTATTCTATACTTTCTCGTCTCTGCCTTCTAGTACCGGCGATCAGGCCTCTCAGCGGGTAGGCGACTCAGGGGTGGTTCTCCCGGTCCAGGGCCTAAAAGTGGCTTCCTGAGGGGGTTGCCCAGGCTGGCCACACCCTACGTGTTAGATGCTTCCCTCATGAGACCTGGCTGGCAACCAGGGGAGACTGAAACTTGGTTTGTGAAAAGGGCTGGGCTACCCAGAGGGTATTTCCCGGGCACCTCAGCCAGGCCAGGGGGAGCAGAGCCTTCAGAGGAGCTGAAGAGACATCTGAGAATCCTGGCGGGTGGACAGTGCCTCCTTTTGACAGCTGGGAAAGCCCAGGGGCAGAGGGCAGAGGCAGCTGCCCAGGGTGGCATGGCTGGGAGGTGGCCGAGCTTGGACTTACCCTGTGGAACTCGTAGTGACCGCAGACCCGGATCCCTTGGTCACTTTCTCCGAGGTTCAGCAGGAAGACGGCAGTGGGGGCCCTCGCGGAGGGAGGCAGGACGGCTGGGCAGCGCACGTGTGGGGTGTGCTTGTCTGTCTGTCTGCTCATCCAACAGTTTGTCTACAGGTGTCCTCAGAAAACCATTGGTTGTTATGCTATAACCAGGTGTAGGTTTTGCTGAATTCTTTTTTTTTTTTTTTAAGACTTTCTTTTTTAAGATTTATTTATTTATTTATACAAGCACTGGGTACAGTCAGAAGCGCGGGAGGGTGAGAGAATTCACCAGAGCCAGAGCGGGGAGCAGAGCAGGCAGAAGGACCGAAGTACACTGCTGAGGGGAGCAGCGGGCGGCAGGAGAGGTCTGCGCGCCACGTGGGACCCTCCTCAGTGGCCGGGGAGCAGCCGGGGATTGAACCGACACTGCAGAGGCTGCGGGCAGTTTCACAACCCAGCCAGCGCTCAACCGCCGCGCCAGCAGGGAGGCCCGGTTTTACTGAATTCTTTTGTGCAAAGTCCCTCATCTCCTTCATATCAGGCCAGCAAATTCAGGATCCAACAGGAGAAAGTCGTTTTTGGGGTGGTGGGGGGCATGCAAAAACTGTTAGACACCACCCTGTTTGTGTCCCTGCAAAGGGCCACAGAACATGAAACTGGGAGCCAGTAGCTCTGCGGTGGTGAAATTTCAAGGGGGCAGGTGGTGACTAGGAGAAAAAGTAGCCTGAAGAGAACCCTGGGTGGGGCTGAGGGGTGAGAGGGGGAGGATGGGCCGGGTGACGGATGGCCCAAGGGCCTGAAGACAAGGCCCCGTGCAACGGCTGCTGGACTTGGGGCCTCGCTCACTCCTCTGCTGCTGCAGCAGGGTCCAAGGGGGCTGGGGACCCCGTGGATGCGCCATCCTCCAAGACCTTGGGGTCTGGTGGGGCAGCATGAGGGTCACAGTGCCTGTGTGGCCTTGGGGAGCATCCTGGCACCCACCGACGCCGCCCCATCTGCAGAGCCCCAGGAACCAGCAGGAGCAGTGAGACTTCTTGGAGTTCATGGGCCAGTGGGAATGAATTTTTCTAATGTAATTAACATTTAAAAATGTTTAAACAGGGGCCTCCCTAGTGGTGCAGGGGTTAAGTTTTAGTGGGAAAATGCTATCCGCAACCACTGCAACATGAATTCGATCCCTGGCCAGGGAGCTGACCCACAGGGAGCTGACAGGAGACCTCTCCTGTCTCACCTGCTGCTCCCCTCAGCAGTGTATTTCAGTCAGTCTGCCTGTTCTGCTCCCCACTCTGTCTCTGGTGGATCCTCTCCCCCACCCCCCAGCACCTCTGGCCTGTACCCCAGCTTTTGTCTGCACAATAAATGAATCTTTAAAAAGGTTTAAACAGGGGGAACAATTCCTTGGAGGAAGAGGCATCTGCTCTGGTCTAGAGGATGGACACTGTATTGCTCACGGGTGATGGGGGTCATGATGATGGGGGGCTCTGCAGTGAGACCACCCAAGTTCACATTCCTGCTCCCTCCCGTACTGGCCATGTGACCCCAGGCTCCAAGTCGGCCTCAGTTTCCCACTTGCATATGAGGTTCGTAAGCGGAGGCTGTGGGGCATGAGCGGCTGGCAGTAGACAGGCATGGCTTCTGCACTCGATGCCTGTGGTCACAAGCCAGCGAGGCCGAGACCTCACGCCTGCCCTGGGCTCACCATGCAGACAGTTTCTAGGGCTCCCTGCCTGGCCCTCTCTGATTGTCAAGGGCAGAGGTATGTCCAGCTCCCCAGGGCTGGGATTATTTCAGAGACCTGGCCATAAATGCAGAATATCAATGACCGCAGCTGCTTTTATTGAGCACTTGCTGTGTACTAAACACTCAGCCTGGACCATTTCACTTCAACCGCACCCACCCCATGAGAGGCAGGTGCCACTCTTGTCCGTGTGTTCCAGACGAGGAGCCCGTGGCTCGCAGAGGGGAGTTCAGCTCCTGGAGCCACGGAGCTGGGGCTGGATCTGGCTTGTTGTTTAGACGTGCCCTGGGGCGGGCGGCAGCCTGCTTGTTGACTGGAGGCTTCCTTCCTTCCTTCCTTCTCGAGGTGGCTGCTCAGGCCACGCCCTGACAGCTGAGTCTAAGATGCTAAGATTCCCGCAGTGCTGCTTCCCCCAGCGAGGCCACGGAAGCAGCCAACCGTGCTTTAGAGGACGGAAGGGGAGGATGCTGGCTTTCCCCTGTGCGGGACCCTCCGCCGTAAGGGAAGACGCGGTGCTGACGCTTTCAGCGAAACGGAGGGAGCTGGAGGGAATGGTGTGCAGGGAAACAAATCAGAGTGACAAAGGCAAATACTGGACAGTCACCTAGCGGAGCCCGGCAGACGCCGCACTCCACGGCAAAATACCTTCCAAAGCCAGCGAATGATCAGGAGTGAAATGAGGGCTTTGGGGCTCACGCGAGGCAGGAGGGAGAAAGGGGCGGGGGACCCTTAGGGACAGGGTGCGGGGGACACATGCACGCGTATCTCAGAACACATTCTGCACAGTGGCGTTGCAGCAACGTCTCTGAAAAAGAGAAGAGATTGTAAGATTGCAGGACCCTCAGCACCGAGACTCTCGGGTCCAAGAGAGCAGGAGCCCCAAACTTAGGAGGACTTTCCTGAGCAGCCCCAGCGGCCACGCCGCAGGCTCTGGAGCTGGGGCGCGGGCCCCACCCACAAGGGTGGGGCTCAAAAGCAGCAGAGTAGTTTGAGGGTGGAAGCCAGGAAACGGGCAGCGGGTCTCCGACCTACACGGTTGGGCAAGCAAGTGAGACAAATAGGATGTGGCCACTGCCCCTCGTGGGCCCTGCCTGGCCCCGCCGTGGGGAGGCCTGTTTTCTGCCACCAAGGAGAGAAGAGGTGAAGGGTGGGGCCCGCGGGAAGTGTCGTCAGCACCCTGACTGCTTTCCTGAACAGCGCCCAGGCCTCCTAGCAGGCGGGGCCCGAGCTGAGGTGAATGAGGGCTCCCCCAGAGGACCAGGAACCAGCCACCCTCCCTGGGGCTTTGGAAGACCACGCTTTTGTCATACTACATTTATGTGAGCAACATTAAGGATTATTATCCCACTGGCCACATGGCACACCCTCTGCCCTCCTCCTGTGTGGGCCCCTCGGAGCCGCCGAGCCTCGGGGCCAGTCCACTTTCTATCAATGGCTGGTGACCTGGTGCGAGGCTGCTGTGGCCCCTCAAAGCCCATGGGATGGCAGGCATCAGGCTGGGGTGACCCCACACCCTGTCTATGGGGACCAGGGATTTTCGACACCGACATGGGGACCATCCAGGTAGGTTTTCGGCACCCTCGCCAGGCCCAGGCAGGGAGCATTGGGCTTCCCCAGTGTACCCCGTTTTATCTGAACAGCTGCCCCAGCTCCCCTTACTGCATAGGAGGGAAGTAGGGAGGTCACTCTCTCTTCCCTGCCTCAATCTGCTCCTCTGTCACCATCTCCCACGAGGATCCCCAAGTACACACCCCCTGTAGGATGCGAACACAGGGGGCCGTTCCGCAGCCTCTGACGCAATCCTCCTGGCCATTCTTGGAATCAGAGGTGCCCATTTTACAGATGAGGAGGCTGAGGCTTGGGGAGGTGAAGGGACCTGCTCAGTGTCTCTTCGTGGGCTGGTCTCTCCTCCAGCCAGGCAGGGAGAGACCCCTGCGTCTGTCCCCTGTGCACCAGGGGACACGGGTGCGAACCCGGCATGTAGCAAGCACCGCGAGGCGTGGCTTCTGTGCTTCCCGCCCACCTGCAGCGCGCCAGCCAGCGGGGAATGAAGGTCTAGAAAGTAAGCAAACGTTAGAAAGTGTTTGAACATTGGAGTGACCCATAGTGTCTGGGCAACCCACGAAGGTCTCCTGGTGGAGAGGCCACAGCAGCCACAGGAGAGCCCCCCTTAGGAGGGGACCTGGTGCCCTCCTCAATGCCCAGCCAGCTTCTGGGCTGCGGAGCATAGCAGCCTGACTCTACCAGATCCCTCCCCCCAAGAAATGGGTAGGCTGGGCCTTGTGTTTTGGGGCCTCCCTCTCTGCTTTCAGGAAGTGCTGAGGGCTCTGCCTTCCAGGAACTGAGAACGGGCCAAAGGGGTGTGAGGTTTGTCATAATTATGAAATATGGTTCTGAATGAGTGGTTTCTTTCTAAAGCCCCACCCTCCCCGCCCACCCAGGAAAGCACAGCCAAGGGCCACGTTTGGGCCCTACACTCTTCCCGCTGGGGACTCTTTATGTCTGCAAGCTTATGTGCGGACGTAAGGAAGGTTAGGAGGCAAAGTGTGTGTGTGTGTGTGTGTGTGTGTGTGTGTGTGACACATCTATGAAGTACCTACTGTGAGCCTGGAACTTTCAAATCCATCATCTTTTTACACTCTCTCAGTTGCCCTGTGAGACAGGCACTGTTTGTTATCCCATTTTGCAGATGAGAAAACTGACTCAGAAGGCAAAGATCCTTGTCAGGGTCAGGCAGCTTGTATGGGACAGAGCTGGGACTTCAGCATCTTTTTGTCTGACCCCCATGGTCTCTGCTTTTCCTCCTGTGTCCTGTGTGGCACCTGGTACCTATGGGGCTGATCTTTCTGGGCATTTAAGGTCTCCTTAGTCTTATCCTGACCTCCCTCTTCCAACTGGGTCCCCAGCCATGGCCACACACACATGAAGTTACGCTCACTCACAAGCTTTTGCTCCTTCTGTTCCCTCAGTTATGCCAAGTCACTGATTCATATCTGAGCTCTGCCACTCACCAGCTGTGTGTCTTTGGGCACACACTTCTCTGAGCCTCATGCCTTCTCGGTAAAATGAGGATCAGTGTGCAGGCCAACTGTGTCTGGACCACATATCATACTCTTTGCTTTAAGACACAGAGATGACTAAGCTGTCATTTTAGACTATTCTAAATTCTAAATCCAGCTGACTTGAGAAGAAGGTGAGATTGAGCTTGAGGGGCCTGTAAGTCGGTAACTCAAGGAAAGGTGAGTCATTGCTCTGTCTTCTGATCACATGAAATGAGGACAGGATGAGAGACTGTTGAGGCTCTCTCTGCCCTAGACACCACGCTAGGTGCACCCTGCCAAAGGGTATGATGTGCTGGGCTCCCAGGAGCACTGGAATCCCGCCCCAAAACGCATCTGTCATTCACCACCAGGGTCTACAACTCTGTGACTCCCACAAACACCATCCAGTGCCAGGGGGGCACGTACAGAGAAAGAAAACATGTGTGTTCACAATGCCAAGAAGGAGGTCAGTGAGGGCCTAGGGGGGACACTGCCCTTCCTGGTTGCCTGGTCAGGAGGCTGAAGGTGACACCAGGATGCACAATGGCCCTCCCTGTTTTTACAAGATGACTGTCAGTTCCCTGAGGAGCAGGGCTGTTCTGGAAAGAACTGAGTTTTCTCCTGGCCCCTGCTAGTGCAGCTAGTAGCTCTGGGCCATTGCAGACTTACGCGATAAGTTTACTGCAAAACCAAAGTGGCGGCCCTCTGCTGGAGCTGGTGATCAGGCAAAGGTCTAAGGTCCTTGCAGGCATCACCTCTTCTTATCCTCATAGTAGCCTACAGGTTGTCCCCGCCATGTGAGCAAGGGCACAGCCAAAGGAGCTGGCCCAAGCCGAGACACTGAGAAGGGACGAGACTCCGAGGGGCAGGCCAAGGCTGTGTGGGCTGGGAGCCAAGATAATTGGAAATGGAACAGAGGGACCTGGAGAGAGGGGTCAGGACTAGCCTCCATGGAGCCTCAAAGAGCACCCCGAAAGATCATCCCTTGTGGTCTCTCTCATTCGTAGACACCCTTCAGCGGACAACGTATGTGCCGGATCCATCTGAACTGTGTGCAGGTTTTCTGGACCCACGCTATATGCTAGATATGTGCAGAAATAGAAGTTGAGAAGGGGTGACATCTTAGTTACTGTAACTAGAAGCTCCAATGCCTTCTTTCTATACCCCAATGGATTGCGCTGCTCACAAGTCAAAAGTTTTGCTAGAAAGGCAAATGAAGTTTCTCTGTACCTTATAGAGAGAGTTGGAAGTCTCCCCGGATGGATTTATTACTGTGAATAAATAGTAATGGCTGTTCACTGAGTGTTTGCTCTGCACCAGGCGGCCACTGAGCCTAGTGCCTGCCCCAGATCAGACACACGCTGACTGAGGTGGTCCAGGGTCGCAGTGGAGGGTGTGCGGGAGACCCCGGAGGAGGAGGTCCTCATGTCCCTCTGTCCATATGTCCCTCCAGGTGCCATGATCCTGCCACGTCTCCCGCCACTTCTCTTGCTGCTGACGCTGCTGGGCCCTGGCAGCAGCCTCCAGCTGTGGAAGGCCTGGGAAGATGGGTCCATGGAAGCACCAGGCCTCCTGCTCTCCCGGGACCGCAGACAGGTGACTTTGAACACAAGCGAAGAGGTGGACTTTGACTATGTCACGGAAGGCACGGATGATCCTGAAACGCTTGAAAATAGCACCGAGGCTGCAGCGCCCCTCCACCAGCTCCTGGCGGTGATGGGAACCTCGGGACAGAGCGGTTCTGCAGGGCCTGGGACACCGGAGCCAGCCACTTTGGAGGTGGCCACAGTGGGTTCGGCTGGAGGGCCTGCCGTGGGGAATGAGAGAGGGGCACTGACTACTCAAGGGATGCCCGTCACACCGGGCCCCCTGACCAAGTACCCGGCCACTGCAGTCCCTTCCCACACCGACACTCCCTCCGCAGCACCGACCACCGTGGAGGTCTTGCCTTCGAGACCGGCCAGCACAGAGGCACTGAGCACGCTCCCTGCAACCACAGAAGCCTTGTTCGTAGAATCCACTCACACAGAGGCCCTGGCCATGGCACCTGTAGCTACGGAGGCCCTGGCCACAGCGGAAGCCACTGTCATGACGGCCCTGGGCACAGGGCCAGCTGCCACAGCAGCCCCAGCCACAGAGCCCGCCACCACGGAGGCCCTGCCCACGGATCCGGCCACCATGCAGGCCCTCGCCACAGAGCCTGCCCCCCCAAGCGGTCTGAGCACCAGGGCAGCCAGCAGGTCACCTGACACGTGGAGAAAGAGGCAAAATCTCCTCCCTAAGATCCCTACAACCCCCAGCCCCACCAGGGCCCAGGACTACATCCCCGTGAAGCAGTGCCTGCTGGCCATCCTCATCCTGGCCCTGGTGGCCACCGTTTTCCTCGTGTGCACCGTGGTGCTGGCCATCCGCCTCTCCCGCAAGCGCCACATGTACCCCGTGCGCAGCTACTCCCCCACCGAGATGGTCTGCATCTCGGCGGTGCTGCCTGAGGGGGGCGAGGGGCCCGCGGCCACCACGGCCACCACGACCAATGGGGACCTGCCCAACGCCAAGAGCCAGGACCGGAAGGCGGAGCCTGGGCCGGACCGAGACGGGGACGACCTCACTCTGCACAGCTTCCTCCCTTAGCCGCCCACCGCCCGCCCGCTGAGGGGACCCCGTGTCCAGCTCCCACAGGCCCGGGCTTCCCCGCGGTCCCCTGGGGGGCGGGGGTCTTGGGGCAGGGACACTGGCTGTCCCTCAGGGGACGGATAGGGGTCAAGGTGCTGCCATCAAGCAGGACTTGGCATGAGGCAAGCAGCAGCTTGTCCTCCCGCCGCATCTGCCCCACCTCCCTGCCCCCCCACAGACTCCGGCTCCCTCGAAGGCTGGGCTTCCTCGACAGCCTCTCTCTGCCCTGCTCCTCGCTCCAGGGAGGACTCGGAGCCTCCACGCTCCTTCCATTTTCTTCCGGTGGCCACGGGCACATACAGGCGGGGCGCTCGGGCAGCAGTGCCCCATCCCCGAGGCTGTTTCCTGCCTCTCTCCTTTGGGCAGCTTGGGCACCAGGCCGAGTTCCCTGCCCTTGGGCCCGGGGCAGGCCTGGGGAGCCCCAGGCTAGACCTTCCTGGGCACCACGTATACTCAGGGGCTTTCCCCCATCCTGCCCTCTCACCCGCCCCTTGTGTCACGTTTCTGGGTGGGCTCTGCAGGGTCATTTGTCCTGAAGGACTGCACTGCGCAGCCCGGGGTCAGGGACCGCACAGGCACCCAGAAAATGCGAGGTGGAAAATGGGCCTTTGGTAGTCCCCCCGGCCCAGCCCCTCCGGAAGCCCCACACCAGCTGCAAGGTTGACTTCAGAGCTGTGTCTTCATCACGGGGGGCATCTTGGTACATCCTGGAGCAGCCAGGGGAAGTTTAGGGCTCTGAGGGAGAAATCGGGAAATTTATTCACATGTCCCCATGACCCAGTTCTGTCCTTTAGAATTAGATGCCCTCCAAAGCTCAGACTAAAACCCCTTCTAAATGTCAATGCCATCCTCCCAGGAGCCCACCTGGTGCTCTTAGTTCTGCAAGAGGCTTGTCTCCCATGAAAGCCCCACGGACGAGGACAGCCGCAGCCTCCAGGCCTTGGGATACCCACAGGAGGACTTACTAGCTGCCCCTGAAAGTCTGGGGGCAGCAAACTTTTTCTTAAAGGGCAGTTATGGTTTGTCAGGCCTCAAGTTCTCTGTGGCAGCTTGTCAGCTCTGTCCTCCGAACGTGAAGGTGGTGACTGGCACACATACATGAAGGGGTGTGGCTGAGTTCTAATAAAGCTTTATTTACAAACAGACGACACACTGGACTTGGCTCTGTTAGTTTGCTGAGCCCTGATGCGTCGGGTGACCAGATGTCCCACTTGCCTAGGACTTTCCTGATCTTCACCCTGGAGGTCCTGTATGTTGGAAAACTCCCCAAGAAGCTGGGTGCCTGACGTGAGCAGCACTTACCACTTTGCCCCAATTGGAACCCACGGTGACCCTTTCATATCCGAAAGCCAAGGCTTAGCCAGGTGAAGTGGCGGAGGAGGGATTTAAACCCTTGACCTTCTGCCTCCCAATGCCTGTTAGTCATTTTCTTCAGGGAGAAGGAGACAGCTGTTCAAAGGGCACACTGGTACACACTGGTACAGTTCCTCTTAGTGGGGGGCTATTTTTCTCTTCGGGAAAAATCCCCCCAGCAGCCTCTTTCCACTCCAGGGTCTAACCTGCAAAAGAATTGAGAGGGAGTTGAGTCTGGGAGGTATTGACTATAGCTGGGGAGAGAGGGCCTGGGCAGACAGGAGGAACATGGCAGGCCTGGGGGGACAGAGTGTGACAAGTGCAGAACTGGCTGCCCTTCCCCTAAGCTCTAGAATCAGCTTGATACTCAAGAAGGTTGTTCAGGCACGTGGAGCGGGGGCTGGTGGAAGAGGGGCATCTGTATGGGTCTGGAGAAGGCAGCAGACTCTGGAGAAGGCAGCTTGATGTGTCAGGAGAAAGGTCCCCTTTGGGAGTGATCAGAGAAGCCAGCTGGGGGGCTCCACATCCTAGACTTGGGGACCCACAGGGACATGTGGTCAGTGAGTCCCCTTGGGGTCTGGTCTCCCCTTCTTCTGGGAGGGAGCAGGTCTCCACATTCATCTGAGGGCCCCCAGAGGGCCTCTGTGAGGATGCTGGGTGGCTGCTCAGGCTGCTTTTCCGTCTGTCTGCAGGAAGAAGGCCTCCCCTCTGCAGTTGGTCCCCAAGGTGCAGGACAGGTCAGTGTCGGACACCATGGGTGCTTGAGGCAGCCACCGGGGGGCGCTTGACACCAGCACTTCAGCCTCTTTGAGGACAAAGGAGAGCATTCCTCCAGGGCCCCCCAAACCAGTGGAGCGCCCGTAAATTTACATCTAGCAGCTTGGGTGGAAATGTGTGCAAGCCATGATGTGTAGCCCTTGCCAGCTTCCCTCGGGTATGTCCGGCTGTGGCCGGTGTTGAATGAGCGTTTAGAGAGCAGAGGATACAACAAATGTGAACATCAAGGGCACAGATGATAGTAGAAGGTGGTACAAAAATTACAAGAAAATGATGAGTTTTGAGTTTTGAGGTCTTGGTTTTTCGTGTAACTTATTAAACAACTGGCCCACAAAATTCTGGAAATTTGAATTTTCAAACTTCAACTGTCAAGGCTGACTCCTGGGTACGTACCACCAGCGTGCCTGCCCCCTGCCCCTAACAGCACTGCCTGAACCTCATTCATCCGTGCAGAGATCTGCATAGCTCTACCAATCCCCGCCACAGCTTGGGAATAAAAGTAATTTTCTCCCCCATTTTACAGAAGAAGAAACCAGGACTCAGGGAAAGAAGTCACCTGGCCCAGGTCATGTGTGAGATTGAGCCCCAGGCTGGAGCAGAAGGCCTTACTCTCACCTCTGATACTCTGTCCTCTGTCACAGGGGTTCTGGGGAACCCCCAGCTCTCACTGCTGACCCGTCCTGGCATCTGGAATTCCCCCACCAGTCATCTCTGGGGACCCCTGCTTGCTGCTGGAGGCGGCAGGTTTGGGAGGGCAGGACACAGCAGAACAGGGCCAAGGACATAGGGAGGTGGCCAGCAGCAAGGATCTGGCGGGGGTTGGGCCCTGACTGCGTGCCCAGACCCCTGCCAGACCCTTTATCAGCAAGATCTCACTCAGATCTCACAACCACATCATGTGGGTACAGTAATGACCCCACTTTACTGCTGAGGAAACTGAGGTCCAGAAAGCTGGACCACTGGCTCCAGCACCTTGTGCCTCTAAGAGACCAGACTGCTGACGCGGTTCTGGCGGCAGGGAAGGAAGGAAGGTAGACAGGAAGTGGGGGGTGGCGAGCTGGGGGCCTGCTGAGTTTATTCCCGGTCCCTTCTCCTTTATGACTGGGCCTGCCAGCCCCATGGGTGGTTCGTCCAGTCTCTGATCCTCACAGCGGCTCCCCAGCCCCAACGCTCCCTCCATGTCCCGCCCCATCGGCCACTCCGCCAGCCACATCATTCGATGGTTTCGGAGCATCCACAGCTTGGCAGGCGCCATGCTCGACCCCAGGATGGGAGGTGAGCAGGAAGGGACTGTGATACCCGCTGCGGCTCGTATTCTAGAGAGACACAGATGAATCACATGATCGCCTATAAAAATATCAGAGGATGGCTCGGCCCGAGCCCCAGGGGCAGGCGCTGGGGTTCTCTGCGCGGGGTAAGCCGCACAGGTCCGTGCAGGGGAGCAGCGCTCAGGGCGCACAGGCCTGAGGAAGCTCCAAAGGGCGCTGAAGGAAAGGGCAGGCGCGGGCGGCTGGGTGGAGACGGGGCTGTGCATGCGGGCAGGGCTGTGTGAGCCCGAGTCTGGGAAGTGCGGGGAGAGGCCCACCCAATCCATGGAGAGAGAAACCAAATCAGAGGTTCCCCCAGCGGTAGAGGGGGACGATTAGGAGGAGGCTCAGAGACACCGGAGTGATGGGAACGTGCTGGTCTTGACCTTGGGGCGTTAGCCAGACCTCGGGGACCTGCTCTAGCCTGCGCGATGGGAAGGACCCCCCAGGGGCAAGTCCACGAAGCAGCAGCAGAGGTGGGTGCACGAGCCCTGGAGCCTAGAGGTCTGCTCCGGCGAAGGCAGAAGAATTGGGAGTCCAGCTGGGGGGCCCCCGCCTCTCTGTCTTGCGTGAGTCCAAGCCTCTGACCTGCAGTGGCTGCGCCCCCATCCAGCACCGTCAGCGCCTCCCCGTTGTCCCCAAGTCCAAAAGAAGTTTCCAGCCTTGCCATTCACCGACCATTAGCGTAAATGTGTCGCTGTCCAGACAGACTGACCCCTCGTTCCTCCTCGCACGCGCTCTGGGCCTCCTGGCCCTCGCCCCCTGCCACCAGCTGGCCACTCCCGAGGGTTCGGAGCTTTGGGAGCTGGGGCTTGATGCCGCCATGCCTTCGAGCTCCCCCTTAGCTCATCCCCTCTCCCTTCTTCCTGCCCCAGCCCTGGGTGCCGAGAGGGACTCCAGGTTACTCGTCCTCGCCCTGGGCCCTCCATCTCCCCACCTGGGAGCCGGCGTGTCTGCCATACCCCGGGGCGGCCGCCATTCACTGTCCTTCCCCCTCGCGCGACTCGGCACTCGTGGGTTTTCTTCCCGGAGACAGAAGCCATCAGCGTGGTGCCTGCCGCTGTCCTGGCTGCACGCCTGTCCGGGCCTGGGGCCCTCGTCTGCCACCGGGGCCTGTCCTACGCCCCGCACAGTGACGAAGCGCGGTGAACCCTCACAAAGGCCGCAGAAGCAGCAGCGGCAGCTCACTCGCACCCGCTGCTGGTGGGTCCCCCTGGGCCAAGCTCATTGCTGTCATTTTCTCATTTACCCCTCACCCTGCAAGGTAGGTGCTTTTTTAACCCCATTTCACAGATGCACAAACTGAGGCTTAGAGAAGTTCAGTGACTAGGTCAAGGTCACACCGCTTGAAAATCACAGATCTGGGTCTTAATTTGTAAGATTTCCTGAGGACACCACTCACCAGGGACTGGTGCCTTGAGGAGGAGCTGGGAACTCCCCAAATCTCCAAGCTCAAAGCCATGCCCTTGGCCTGACTTTCCACAAGCAGAGAGGCGTCCTCTCTAGGGGCTGTTCTGTGCCCATGCCAACCGCACTGGTGGGTGGGAGGTGCTGGCAGGCTCTGGGGGCAGGCACTGGCCTCTGCCCATCCTTGCGGCCCTCCCTGCACCAGCTGGAGAGATGGGCACATGTTAGATGGACCCCTTAACTCCAGCCTCATGCTCAGCTCTGTGAGACCCCGGGCGTGCAGCCACCCTCTTGGGGCCCAATTTTCCCTCTGTAAGGGGGTGGGTAACCTGTATTACCCAGCAGGTGGGCTCCCTGCTGCAGGGACAGCTCCCTGGAGCCAGAAATGGATTTGGGGGCACTGGACAGGCTGGTGTGGTGAAAAGTGACTCCAGGGAGAGGCCCCAGCAGACGCATGAGATGGCACCTTAGGAGAGCAAGAGAGCCTAGAAGTAGGGGTTAGGGGACCGAGCCATGGTGGGACTCCCTGGAAGAGGGGGTGAGCTGTTTCTAACGTGACACCCCTTCATGCTGGAAAAGATGCTCTCGGACCCATGTGGACATCTTCACGTCCATGGTGTGAGAAAAGCGATAATGGGCTTTGGGTAGTATTTATGGGGATGAGGAACAAAGAAAAATCCCCTCAAGGGATGGGGGGCGGGGGTGGCAGGGCCATTTTTGTCCCGATGTTGCTGCTGGTCCTGCGGTTTTTGCAAGATAAGCAAAAATAGGAAATGGCCATCATGACCATTGTGGTTTCATCTGGAGATATTTGGGGGTGTCACTATTGGGGGGACTGCTACTGGCATCTAGCAGGTGGTCGAGATGCTGCCAACACCCTCTAAGGCGGCACAGGGCGGCCCCCACTGCAAATGAGGGGTCTGGCCTGTCAACAGGGCTCAGGTGGGGCAGCCCGGGTGCTGCTCCTCCCAAGAATGGGGTGGGGAGAAGTGGCCCCCGACAGAGAGCGAGCAGCAGACACAGCCCTGACCCCAGCCTGTGAACCCCGCCAGCGACCACGTGCAGGGGACCACGCTCCCTCCAGCTTGGGCGCTGGCTCTGGGTGGCTCTCTGCCTGGCCTTGTGCCAGCCTCCAGGACGGGCTTCGAGTGATTCCCGGGGAGGCTGAGCCTCGCCTCAGCGAATCCCGGAATACAGGTGAGTATGTAGGACAGCGGGTCCCCTGTTCCCCACAGCCCAACCTCTTGCCTTGCTCGCACCCCCTTGTCACTTGTTGACAAACGCTTGGCTTGGATG